TAGAAGAATGAAAATAGATCCATATCTATTGCCATGCACAAAACTCAAGTTCAAATGGATTAAAGACCTCAATATAAATCTGACCACACTGAACCTGATAGAAGAGAAAGTGGGAAGTAGTCTGCAACATATGGGCACAGGAGAACAATTCCTACATATAACCTTAGTAGCACAAACAATAAGAGCAACAATGAATAAATGGGACCTCCTGAAACTGAGAAGCTTCTGTAATGCAAAGGACACTGTCATTAAGACAAAAAGGCAACCTACTGAATGGGAGAAGATCTTCACCAACTTCGCATCAGACAAAGGTCTGATCTCCAAAATATATAAAGAACTCAAGAAACTAGATATTAAAACTCTAATTAACCCAATTAAAAAATGGGGTACTAAACTGAACAGAGAATTCTCAACAGAAGAAGTTCAAATGGCCAAAAGACACTTAAGGTCATGCTCAACCTCCTTAGTGATCAGGGAAATGCAAATCAAAACAACTTTGAGATACTATCTTACACCTATCAGAATGGCTAAAATCAAAAACACCAATGATAGCCTATGCTGGAGAAGTTGTGGAGTAAGGGGAACACTCATCCATTGTTGGTGGGAATGCAAACTTGTGCAACCACTTTGGAAATCAATGTGGCAGTATCTCAGGAAACTGGGAGTCAACCTACCTCAGGATCCAGCAATTCCACTCTTGGGAATATACCCAAGAGATGCCCAATCATACTACAAAAGCACTTGTTCAACTATGTTTATAGCAGCACTATTTGTAATAGCCAGAACCTGGAAACAACCTAGGTGCCCCTCAACACAAGAATGGATAAAGAAGGTGTGGCACATATATATTTTAGAGTTCTACTCAGCTGTAAAAAACAATGACATCTTGAATTTTGCATGCAAATGTATAGAAATAGAAAACACTTTACTGAGTGAGATAACCCAGACCCAAAAAGAGGAATATAGTATGTACTCACTCATAAGCAGATTCTAGCCATAAACAAAGGATATTGAGCCTATAGTTCATGATCCTAGAGAAGCTAAATAAGAAGGTGAACCCAAAGAAAAATCATATAGTTATCCTACTGGATATTGGAAGTTGACTAGATCGCCAGACAAAAGTTGGGAAGAGGGGGGTGGGAGTTGATTGGGGGAAGGGGAGATGGGGAGAAAGAAGGGAGAAGGGAGGATTGGGGAGAGCCTGGGGGAATGGGATGGTAGAGATGGAGGAAGGGTGAATAAGGGAGCAGGGAAGGAGATATCTTAATTAAGGGAGCCATTTTGGGATTGGAAAGAGACTTGGCTCTAGAGGGGTTCCTAGGTGTCTAAGGAGATGGCCCCAGCTAGGTCCTTGGGCAGAAGAGGAGAGGGTGCCTGAACTGGCCTTCTCCCATAGCCATACTAATGAATATCTTGCATATCACTATAGAACCTTCATCTGGTGATGGATGGAGATAGAGACAGAGACCCACATTGGAGCACTGGACTGAGCTCCCAAGGTCCAAATGAGGAGCAGAAGGAGGGAGAACATGACCAAGGAAGTCAAAACTGTGGGGGGGGTGCATCCACCCTCAGAGACAGTGGGACTGATCAAATAGGAGCTTACCAAAGCCAGCTGGACTGGGACTGATGGAGCATGTGATCAAACTGGACTCTCTGAATGTGGCTGACAATGAGGGCTGACTGAGAAGCCAATGATAATGGCACTGGGTTTTGATTCTACTGCATGTACTGGCTTTTTGGGAGTCCAGTCTGTTTGGATGCACACCTTCCTAGACCTAGATGGGGGCGGGGCTTGGACTTCCCACAAGGCAGGGCACCCTGACTTCTCTTAGCACTGGAGGGCAAGGGGGAAAGGGAGTCGAGGGAGTGGGAGTGGGGGAAGGGAGAGTGGGGGAAGGTGAAGGTGGAGGGGTAGGGAAAAGGGTGGATGGGAGGAGGTGGAAATATTAAATAAATAAATAGATAAATAAATAAATAATAAAAAGATTTTGATGAACTTTTAAGTTGCTAGATAAGCATGTATTTTGCCTGGATTCCTTTTCATTTTTCCCTCCTTTTCTCATCCCCACCCTCTCTCCCTTCTTCAGTTTCTCTCTTCTTTTTGTCAATTTATCTCTTTTCTGATTGGATTGCCACATGAGTCGGATTGCATTAACTTTCTTATATAGCTCAGTCATAATACCCATGATTTTACCTGCCTCGACTTCTCAGCTTGCAAGATTATAGGCATTATATTATATCAGTATTAATTATATCAGTATATTAATAAGTATTATATCAGACCAGCATCCCTCTTCTCATAGCAGAATTGAGGATGATCTCTGTCCTTTGTACTTCTGGATTACTTAGAATATATTAAATAACAATACATTTGCAACCAACAAGTTGTGTTCATTTTATATGCTTATTCTGGATTCTGAGTTTTCCCCGTGGTAGGGATATGCTGTAGTCATATTTGTATAGGATGCATTTTCTAGTAGTCAACAGTTTTAGAAACTAGAAAAGATTTGGATAGAAAACTGTGGGGATTAGAGTGATGTCTATATCAGTAAAATGCATGTAGTATAAGCATGAGGACTCAAGCTTGATCTGTGAAATTCATGAAAAAAAAACTGGCTGTCATGGTGTGAACTTGTAATCCCAGCCCTAGTGAGGCAGAGATACGAGGATCTATGAAACTCACTAGTCACCCGGTCCATCATACTACTCACTGAGTTCCAGGTTAATGAAAGACCCATCTCAAAACAACAACAGTAAAACAGGGGGATAGTATCTGAACAAAGACAGCAGATGTTGGCCTTTGACCTTCACGTGTGATGGAGGAGGGTCATCTGTCTATGTGTTACTTTAATTGGTTAATAAAGAAACTGCCTTGGCTTTTTGATAAGGTAGGATTTAGATAGGTGGAGTAGACAGAACAGAATGCTGGGAAGAAGGGAAGTGAGGCAGACACCATGATTCTTTGACCCGTGACAGATGTAGGCTAGAATCTTTTGCAGTAAGCCACCACCTCGTGGTGCTACACACATTATTAGAAATGGGTTAATCAAGATGTGAGAACTGGCCAATAAGAGGCTAGAACTAAGGGGCCAGGCAGTGTTTAAATGAATACAGTTTGTGTGTTGTTATTTTGGGTGTAAAGCTAGCCATGCTGGGGCCAGGCAGGACAAAAAGCAGGCCTGCTCGCCTCCTCACTACACACGTGCATGTGTACATGTGTATATGCACCCTCATGCCTACGTAACCAGGCAGACATGAGCACACCTCCTCACATTCACACAGAAAATCTGTGGTATCTTATTTCTTAGAATGTATATCCTATAATTGTTAATCTGACAAATTAATTCCTAGTTAAATACTACAAAAGACATAAATGAAGTATAAAACATAAAGATGGCCACCCATTTATCCATTTAATAAATTATTGAGCTGTCAGCAAAGCACCATTCTTAATACTTAGGACATATCAAAACTTGTGCGAAATCGTGCTATCATAGCACTTACAGTCTATCAACTGATGAAAATCAAATGCAAACTCAGAGGCTTAGGATGTATGTTGGGGTTAGAGCTTCTTTCAGCATTCTCAAGGTCCTGGGTTCAATCTCTAACCAAATTTTAAAAGAGGAGTAAATTGTGTTTCCCACTCCTACCTGATCTTCTACTAGAAATCTGAGATATTTCAGTCAATATTTAAGTTCTTAGATTGCAAATCTGTTTGATGAGAAAGAACAAAGCATTATCAAAATATTTGGGGGGATAAATTTGAGATAGTTAGGCCCATGAGAAGAAATTGTTCAGTTACGAGCTGCACATAACCTCAATGAGAAATTTGACTATAAGACTGAAGAAAAGAGATTAACATGGGGAGGCATCTAAAAGATGTGAAAAGGAAAAGGGGGGGAATCTATTCTAGAACTAAATATAATACAGCAGGCTCATATTGGTCACATTCATAAAGACATCTTGTGTAATTTTGACATCCCTTAACACTGTCAGCCTTTTCTATTTCTCCTTTTTCTCCCAAACAAGTGAGATGTAAGAACTAGGTTTGCTTAAGAGTTTTCAATATCTGTAGTCAGCCCAGAAAAGTAATTCCATTTGCACTTTCTAATCTTTAAAGCAAAGAGATAGTCTGGGTATATGTTAAAGACAGTGACTTTGAAAGTGGATATGGGATGTAATGGGGAATTTCAATTATTTTCCATTTAAATAAATTGGGATAGTGTTGTGTGGCATGAAAGAACATAAATTTGGAATCACGCAGAACTAAGAAGGATTCCTGGTTCTACTTATGTGTGATCCTCAGCTGACTGCAGAGTCTCGGTTTACTTCATTCCTTCTTTCCTTTCTTGCCTTCTTCCCCCCTTTACTTCTTCCCTCCTTCTTTGAAAAGGGATAATATTTAGAGCAACTACATTTAGTTAGGGAACATCTCTTTATTGTCTTATATCATTGTGAAATAAATTAAAAATTTCAAAGTAATATAACATATTCCTTTTAAGTCTAGAAAACTACAAATATGGCTTGCTTTTCTCTTAAAAGAAATGAAAAATAAATGCCTTTACAAAAGCATTATAAAGTATTAATTAAAAATGAATCATTTCTTGTCATCAGAGATATGGCTACTGGCAATAGTTAGTCAACAAACTTTCCCATTACGACAGAACAACTGTGCCCCTAGGCTTGACAATTAATAAAAAGAAAATTTCCGTGTGGAAAGCCTTCTAATACACAAAACTCATACTGTGAAGCACTCAGATGTCCCACCTCCCAATTGTCCATTTGTATTGAGGGTTAATAGTACAACTGATGAAAATTACATATGCTAGAACAACTTTATCTTCCACAGACCTACCAGAAATGAAAACATCCCTGCACTGGAGTGAGCAGACTCAAAATTCCTGCCCTTCACTGGCCTCAGAGGAAGTGCAGTCCTAGGAGAATGACGAGCTGTTTGAAATCTCCAGCCTTAGGTGGGGTCAAAGGAAAGAACCCCATGTGATTATTCTGAAATACGGAAGGAGGGGTGTCTGTGTGATAAGACTAGCATTTTGGGAAAATACAGAGAAGAAAAGAAGAAACTAACAGCCACCAGAATTTCTAGTCTCTTCAGCAGCAGGAGGATGGAAGAAAGAACTGAGGTGGCTTCACATAAGACGGAGATCTTGTTGGTCCTGCTGATCCTGGGCCACCTAATAGTGCTCACCTACGGTAAGGTAGCACACTGATGCCTGACTACCACTTCTACCTCAGGCAGAGGATGTGGGCGTTGATGTTGAGTCTTTACTGAGAAAAGCTTGTTTTTAAATAGTCAGTAACAGTTATATGCAATTCTGTAAGCTTTTTGATCTTGGGCAGAAGGGAAGGAAGTCATTGAAATCTAGTAAAATTCCAGAAGCTGCCTTGGGAAGAAATTGAAATAGTTCTTCACTTGGAAAGTATTTGCATGATTTTCCAGTATTTCAGGTATGTCAGAAGACTTCAAGGTCACCCAAACCTCCTATTTTTTCCTTGAAAGTCTACAATAATGACTAACTTCTCATTTCCATGCTTTGATTCTTGCCACAACATACCGTCACCAATGAATAGATATTTAATAAGTAAGTGTGATGTAAGTGTGACCTTCGAAGCAACCTAGAGCCAGGCATGGTGGGGCACACATTTAATCCCAGCACTTGGAAGGCAGAGGAACTCTGATCGATCTCAATGAGTTCAAGGACAGATTGGTCTATATAGAAAACTTTGAGTTGTCTTGGGTTACATGGTGAAACTCAGTTTCTAGATAAACAAATAGTAATATGCATTATCAAATAAAATGGTTTACAGGTGCTTAACATTTGCTGTTCATACACTTTAGAACACAGCCATTTGCTGGTCTCCACCAGGCTGTATCCAGGCGCATGCCCAAATAGTACTTGTGTTGTGCTAAATCCCCTTCTCTGTTGTTTCTATCCAAGTGCTTCTCACTATCAACCCAGAATACACATGATTCCTTTTTCCATGCCAGCACTTCAAATGTCTGAGGAAAGGAAGAAACTGTGCTCCCTTAACTCTCCTCTTCTCCAAGCTAAATATTTCTAGCTTCTTCAGCTTGGTACATTACTAGCTGCTGAGATAACTCACTTCTTTACGGACACAGTAACCCAGTTGTAGGGACTGTTTGTGGGAACTAATTCTAGATACACAGCCCAGAAGAGGTTGGGCTATCTATCTCCTAGGGGCATTTCTGTGAATCTTCCTCCACACTCATTTACAACTCAAGGAAATGAAGTGCCTTTCAGGAAACTAAGTACAAGTAAGAGCTAAGTAAGTTTCAGTATAGGGTAAAGGGATTCTTGCTGAAGTTTTGCTTGTTTCGTCTTCCTAGAAGACAAGACTAGCTAGATCAATCATAATTTGAAGTATCTAGCAATACCGAATTTTTGCTGTTCTTTTTTAACCAAAGTTGGCCTATCTAATGGCTAAAATATGACATGAATGTTCTAAGAGTTCCTGGTGAGGGCAAAGGCCTTAGACTCAACTTCAGTGTCCCCATTATTAGAAACTCTGGTCCTTACAGTGCATCCAGGAAGATGGACAGCCTAACCTCACTCTGTTCACAAGGCATTGTATTCTACCTGCTTACCTAAAATATGTGCTAAATGAAAAAGATTTATTCAGTAATACCTTGCATTTTGAAACTACATCTACCAGGAAAGACATTGCCTAAATACAATTTTTGGCCCCAGTTGAATAAAATGCAAAAGGATTGAGATATGAGCTTATATATGAAAAATTCTAACAAAACACAATGAGTCCCTGTCTTTTCTTGCCTCTGGGCTCCTCTCCCCAGCCCGCCAAGGAGCAATTTCCTTTGGTTCTACCACAATAACTAGCCCATCCAGCTCTGGAGATTTATTCGGGTTCTTTTCTTTTCCAGGCCAAGCGTGGATTAAACCCTTTCCCCCCTCAGAATGTAACTTTCTAATGTTTTTTTATAAGAACTAAAAGGAAAAAAAGAGAAATAAGGACCAAAAAATCAGCTAGGTTTACTTGCAAAGTACAAGGTTCAAAGCTCATAGCTAATGGTTTGGTCTGGCAGGAAAATTCATCCGGGCCTTTTGCTTCACCTTTCAGTTCCCTTATCGATCATCTCTGTCATCCTTCCAGAAGAGAATGTGAGTTTGTGTCCTCATCACTGAGCCTTTTATCTTGAGTGAGCAAAAGGTGGTAATATAGCAGAGGACTGTTTCAACCATGAATCTACACACACACACACACACACACACAAAAACTACTTCCGTTTCAACTATTTGCCATTCTTTTTCCCGCATCTCATTTGAAAATAGTGAAAGAAAAACTATGGGCATGTAAAATATCATAGAATCTCTAAAGATTGGTCTATCCTAACTCTCCATATTCTGTTTGGGAAAAATAAATGTCACCTCCTAGCAAGACAGTGACATAAAAAGGACCTGAAACCACTCTAGCTAAAGAATGTTAAGGACTTCATCCCACACACTGACTCGGATTGATGAGAAAGCTATCAGCAGAGGCCAGGGATAACCAAAGTATGACTGAAGGGAAAGTGCTTCTTAGAAAGCTATTGAGCCTGTCACTCGCCCTCACTCAGGTGAGCATGTCAACTGTTACTTGCTCATTTTACTTTCTTCCCTGTCTTTAGGCCAACCCATCCTAAGAGCGCCAAAGAATGTGACAGGGACCCGGAATGGGGACGTGACATTACAGTGCGTCTATACTCCCATGAGAGGCTACAGTCAAGAGTCTGTGAAATGGCTGGTACATCATGGCTCTGATCCAGTCACCATCTTCCTACGTGACTCCTCAGGAGACCATATCCAACAGGCCAAATACAGAGGCCGTCTGAAAGTGAGCCAGAAACTTCCAGGGGATGTGTCTCTCCAACTGAATTCCCTTCAGATGGATGACAGGAGTCACTACACATGTGAGGTCACCTGGCAGAGCCCAGAGGGAACCCAAGTGATGAGAGATGAGATTATTGAGCTCCGTGTCCAGAAATGTAAGTCACTGTGAGAGCAGAAATGCGTTGGTAAACAAAGACACGATAGAATACTGTAGTCCTAGACACCTCTGAGAAATTGAGAGGCCTTGGTCTCTAATTCTATGTGCTAATCACAGGATCCTCGAAGTCATCACCCCATTCAAGAATTTAAATAGTGCTGGGAAATAAATACAAATGCATCACTTTCAAAAAAGCTCTTCATGGGCTGGAGAGATGGCTCAGAGGTTAAGAGCACTGATTGCTCTTCCAGAGGTCCTGAGTTCAATTCCCAGCAACCACATGGTGGCTCACAGCCATCTGTAATGAGATCTGGTGCCCTCTTCTTGCCAGCAAGCATACAGACAGACAGAACACTGTATACATAATAAATAAATAAATCTTTTTTTAAAAAAAAAAAAAAAGCTCTCCTTCTGCCACGCCATCACTCCTAGATTTGCCAAAGGCTCTCTGAGGGACCTGGTCCCCCACTAGCTGTGCTTCCCAGTTTACCACAAGGTTTTAGAAACTGAAATCTGCATTGTCCTCTACATAACAAAATTCCAAACTCTATCCATTCACATTTAACCACATAAAATTCCCTGCAGCAGTAGACTTGCCGACATTTCTTCCTCCTTCTTTTAGCCACTTTGACTTGGGTTTTCTACAGTTTGTCTGAGTGATTCTGCTGAGATTATTTGCTGGCTCTTCTGTTCATTACTTTAAGTGTTCTTGGAGTTTAGATTATTGTTAGTGTGCAGCCACAGTAGAGGGCTTTATTTTCTTTGCTCAACTTGAATATTTTCATTTCTAATCTGCCAGTCTACAGCTTGTCTCTCTTCAGTCTTTTAATATTTCTTTTCCAGTAAAGATATTTTTTAGTTGGATGTAGTATCATGATAATTTTTTTTTTATTCCTCTCTGTGTTTTAGAGTTTGTAACCAGAAAATCATTGCCTCTACTCAGATCTTTTTTTACTGCTGAATCCTAATAGATTCAGAGTTCCCAATCTCACATTGCTGTGTTTAATCCACTTTGTTTGATTTTTGCACAGGACAGTAGAGGTCAGGTTTCAATCTTGATGATGCCCACTTTTCCCAGCACCAGTTATTGAAAAGGCTACTGTTTCTCTGATGTGATTTTGTACATTTACAAGAAATTAGTTGCTTTCAGACATATTTGTTTATTTCTAGAATGTGTACACTGTTTTACTGGCCTATGTATCTTTGTATAGTAATATTGTACTGGTTTGGCTAATTATACTTCTGTGATATGTCCCCAAATCAGGAATTGTAATGACTTCAGTCTTCTTTGAGAACTGTCCATCCAAATACTTTAGTCATTTCAAAATTGCATTTGCCTAATTATTCTTGAGTTATGAGCGTAATTTCTTTATTTGGATTATTAAGGTCTTTTAAAATGATTTTTACCATAATAATTATTATTATTGTTTACATCCCAATTGCATTTTACCCTCCCTCCTCTACTTCCAGTCCCTCTCTCTACCTCCCCTTTGTGCTCTCCTCCCTAATCCATTCCCCCTCGTTTCTATTCAGAAAAGGGCAAGCAGTAACAAGTTGCAGTAAGACTAGGCACTTCCCCTCGTATTAAGGCTGCACTAATGCAACCCAAAATAAGGAATAGTGTCCAAAAAGCCAGAAAAAGAGTCAAACACAGCCCCTGATTCCACTGTTAGGAGTCCCACATACAGAGGGCCTAGATCAGTTCCACATGGGCACCCTGTCTCCGTGAGTCACATGAGCCCAGATTAGTTGATTCTACGGGTTTTCTTGTGATGCCCTTGACCCTCTGTCTCATACAATCCTTCTTCCCCCTGTTTCACAGAATTGCCTGACCTCTGCCTAATATTTGACTGTGACTCTTTGCATCTGTTTCCCATCAGTTGCTAGGTGAAGCCTCTCTGATGATTATTGGGCTAGGCACCAATCTAGGAGTATAGCAATATATTATTAGGAATCATTTCATTAGCTTTTTTTCCAGTCATGTCTGGTTCTACCCTAAGTCTCTAGGTTACCCAACCTCTGAGTCCTGGTACTCCATACAATGTCGGGGATGGGTTCCCTCTCAGGGCTGGACCAGATAGTGGTTGGTCACTCTCACAATTTCTTTGCCACATTTACCCCAGCACATCTTGTAGCCAGGGTAAATTGTAGGTTGAAGGTTATGTGGCTGGGTTAGTCTTATGAAATACATTATTCACAAGTATTCTCCCACTTCTTCATGTTGTCTTTTACAGTTCTTGAGATGTAGTTATATGCAAGTGCTTTGCCTGCGTGTATGTTCATGCACCATATAGGTGTATGGTTCCTGTAGAAGTCAGAAGAGGGATCAGATGCTCTAGAAACTGGAATTATAGATGGTTTAAGGTATCATGTGGGTGTGAAGAACCAAACCCAGGTCCTTTGCAAGAGCAGCCAATGCTCTTAATTGTTAAGCCATCTCTGCAGCCCAACATGTTGCCTTTTTACTTTCATGATGGTAACATTCAAGGCTCCAAAGTTTTTTTTTGGTTGAAGTCTAAGCCTATTTTATCTTAATATTTGTGTTTTTGTAGCATATCCCACCAGACCCAATATTCCTTAAGTTTCTTAAGATCTGAGTGGAAAAGAACAGGGGGGATAGAATGGCCCAGATGGTGAAAAGATAGAGAGAAAGAGCAAGAAAAGAGATATCTTGATTGAGGGAGTCATTGTGGGCCTAATGAGAAACCTTGCACTAAGGAAATTCCCAGGGATCTCCAAGAATTAGCCCCAGCTAAGACCCTAAACAATAGTGGAGAGGATGCCTGAACTGGCCTTCTCCTGTAATCAGATTGACTACTTACCTTAATTTTCATCATAGAACCTTCACCCAGCAAATGATGGAAGCATATACAGAGAACCACGGGGGGAGTATTGGACTGAGCTCCCAAAGTTTAGTGGAAGAGTAGGGGGAATGAGAATATGAGAAAAGAGGTCAAGACCATGATAGAACACCCACTTAAACAGCTTGTCTCAGCTAATGGGAGCCCACCAACTCTGGCCTGACAATCAGGGAACTAGCATAGGACCAAACAAGGCCCTCTGAATGTGTTTGACAGTTGCATGGCTGGGGCAGACTGGGGGCCACTGGCAGTGACACAGGGGTTTATCTCTACTGCCTGTACTGGCTTTTTGGGATCCTATTCTCTTTGGATGGATACCTTGCTCAGCCTAGATATAGTAAGGAGGGCCTTGGACCTTCCCCAAAGCAATGTGCCTTACCCTATCTGAGGAGTGGATGGGGAGTGGGGGGAGTGGGAGGAGGGGAGGGAGTAGAAACTGTGATTAGAATGTAAAATGAGAAAAGATTGTTTTTAAAATAAAAAAGTAAATAAATTAAATTAATGAAATTTTTAAAAGATCTGGTAGAACTGAATAGTGAAGCCACTTTAGCTTGATTTTTTTCTTTCTTAGTAGTTCTTTAACTAGCAATCCAGTATTCTTTTACTTGTTTAAATTCCATAATTTCAAGTTTCCTGGTTCATCTTTTGAACTTAACATTTATTTTTAAATATTTGTTTATTATTTTAAGTGGATGATGATTTTATCCGCAAGCATGTGTATATTAGTTACTTTTCTATTTCAGTGATAAAATCTGATAACCAACATATAAAGGACACCAGAGCAAAGACATGGTTGCAGGAACAGTTAGCTCACATCTTGATCTGAAAGCAAGAGGCTGCGAGAGGGAGAACAGTAGAAATGGCACAAATCTTTTGAAACTTCATAGCCCACCCCTAGTAACACAGTTCCTGCAGTAAGGACACACCTCCTAATCCTTCCGAAACTGTTGCAGCAACTACGAACCACAGTTTCAAATATATGAACCTATAGGGGCCATTTCCACTCAAACCATCAGAATGTGTATGTACAGAGTACCTGCCTGGTGCCTGTGAAGGTCAGAAAGACACATAGTTTCTCTGGAACTTGAGCTATATACAGGAATGAGTGGCTATGTCAGGGCTGGGAACCATCCCCACGTCTTCTGCAGGAGCAAAAAGAACTCTTAATCACTGAGCCAACACTCCAGGCCCTACTCCTCATTTTATTTTATTCGGTTAGAGAAGATGCTTATTATGTCAGATATTTTTAAAATTTAGTAAGATTTGTTTTATACACAACATATGGTCTGTTTCAAATAATGCTGCAGGTATACTTAATAATAGTATCTACTTTGCTATTATTATATGAAGTGTTCTATATATGTCACTGCTGGTTAACAATGTTGTTCAACCCTTGAATCTCCTTAATCTTCTTTCTAGTTATTAAACAGATCATTTAAAGTGGGATGTTGAATTCAAATTATGATTGGTAAACTAACCATTTCTCTCCCCAATTCTTTTAAATTTTCTTCATGAATTTTGGAGGCTCTAGTATTATCAGTATATGTTTATTAATGAACTTTATCCTTTACCAAAAATAATTTTATGATTATAAGTTGTTGTTCTTTGTACCTAGTAAAATTTTTTCTCAAATATAATTTGCCTTATATCAGTATAGTCATTCTACTTATATGTTGGCTAATGACTGTATGGTACATCTTTTAACATTATTTTACTGTAAAACCTTGTTTTGCCTTTGAGTACTAAGCAAGGATATCATATAGTTAGATATGATAATCTGAGACTCTCTGCCTTTAAATCTGAATTCTTCTACTTCTATTTAATCTAAGTATCAATAAAGTAAGATTTATCTCTGCCAATTTTCTATTTGTAGTCTTTATACTTATTGCTATATTCCTTCATCGCTTCTACCTTTGATGCTTGATAGATAATTTCTAGCATATTATATAGTTCAATTCTTGTTTAGTTTACTGTGATGGCTATTTTTATGTCAACTTCGTAGAAGCTAGACTCATTTTGTATGAGGGAACCTCAACTGAGAAAATGCCCCCAATAGACTGGCCTGTGAGCAAGCCTGTGGTGTATTTTCTTGGCTAATGATTGATGTGAGAAGACCCAACTCACCACAAGCAGTACCACCCACTGAGTGATCCTGGGTGCTAGAAGAAAGCAGGCTGAGTTAACCATGGGGAAAAATCCAATAAGCAACATTCCTCCATGGCTTCTGCTTGTGAAGTTCCTGCCTCTAATTTCCTACCATGAGTCCCTGCCATGACTTCTCTAAGTGATAGAACATGACCAGAAGCTTGTAAGAAGAAATAAACTCTTACCTTCTCCAGTTGCTTTGGGTTATTGTGCTTTATCACAGCCAAAGGAATCTTAACTAAGACATTTACTAAGTATTTTCATTATTTCTGTTTGTGGGATATCAACAATTCCTAATTTATTGCATTTATTCCAATTTAATTTCATAATATACAAAGGGTTATTTGTATACAGCTCAATTTCTTATCATTTAGTTCTATCATTACCGCAAATTGCATCTTAGTATATTATAATTGTATGAGTATTGATATAGTATTATTGTTTTGTAGGGATGGATAGATAGCTCAGCTATTAAAAGCTAGGCTCACAATCAAAATAATATTGTTTTGTAAAGTGATTTTTTTAAGTCAGATTGGAAAAATATGTTTACACTCAGTATTCACCAGTATAGGTACTTCTACTGGTGCCTTTTTATTTCTTCATGTGAGTTTTGGATATGATTCACTGTCCTTTTATTTTACCTTAAACAATGCCTTTTGACAATTCTTTTGGTCCTATCTTCTAGAAAGTATTCTCACAGTCATTGTTTATCCGGGAAATATCATGATTTCTGCCTCATTTTTTATTTGGAGGTTATTTATGTTTTAGATGGGGGTTTTCTTTGCTACCCAAACTAAATTTATACTTGTAGTTGGGACTGCAATCACATTCTCACTCTACTTATTTGACTGTTTGTTTCTTTGTTTTTTAGGACTTTTGTTGGTGATTTTAAAATACCAATTTTGTATAGTCTTGTATATTCATGGTCATGAGATAGCCATTGAGTTCACTATTTGATTAGCTCAGAAGTCAGTAATAACTGGATAGAGATTTTCTTAAGAGCCAGGAGAAAATAAACCACGTATTATTTACCAGAGAACTTTGTTGCTGGTTTAACGATGATATCAACGTGTATCCAGTTTATAATTATAGTATATTGTTTATTTGCTGTTAATATGAAACCTCAAGATTAATCATAAGTTTGATCTTATACCTTTCTTATATTTTTTCTGGATGTGCACAAGACTTTAAGAAAGGAATGGCACGGGGTTTTGATCCTACTTCATGTTCCGGTTTGGTGGGAGCCTAGCCAGTTTGGATGTTCACCTTCCTAGACATGGACGGAGGGGGAAGGACCTTGGACTTTTCACAGGGCAGGGAACCCTGACTGCTCTCTGGATTGGAGAGGGAGGGGGAGAGGAGTGGGTGGATGGGGAGAGGATTGGGAGAGGGGGAGAAGGGTGGGAGGAGGGGGAGGGAAATGGGAGGCTGGGAGGAGGAGGAAATTTTTTTTCCTTTTCTCAATAAAAAAAAATAAAAAATAAAAAAAGAAAGGATATGATATATTTGACTCTGGGAAGTTGCCAAGCTTTTCAAAGTTCCTGGAGATATCTCATTTTTGAGCATTTCCTTTTAAAAGTCTTGGTTACTCTATTCTTTCTCCAAACTGTTATCCATTGCTTTAGGCTCTGTGTGACAAATTTTCTCCTAGCCATAGAGAGAGACTTTTAGTGCAGATGCTAAATAAAACAAGCATTGGGAGTTATGGCTTTTAAAGAAATTATTAGAAAGGTCAAATAAAGATAGTATTTCTGCAATGAACTTCTTACTTTTGTACCTGAAGTAGGGTATTAATTTTTATTACCTCTGAGGAAAGCTGAAATGCCACAAAGCTTCATTTTATTACTAAAACTGGGCTGTTTTTCTTCCATAAGCACCATAAGTTCCTACGAACCAATTTTCCAAATTCTGGGAAAAAATGACAATACCAAAATATTTCAGTTATGCCTTTATTTCTGTGAGGGGCAAGTTTTAGAAGTCATTACTTTGACATTTTCATTGAAGTCACCAACTAACACCTTCTTTGTTGTTCTTTGGAATTCTTCCTCAAGAATGACTCGTTATATTTTAGTCAAAATTAGTGATTACTAGAATATATTCCCTCAGCCTAGTCTTCACACCATCTCAATTCTAAATATAGATGATTCACTCACATCTTTGAACCCTGCCTTATGACCACTACCTTAGAGTGATGTGTGAGGATTAAAGAACAGGCAATAGAAGTTACCAGCATCATGATGGAAGGGTTGAGAGGTACAACCTAATTCCTAATTTTAATAGTATCTTCAGTTGTTTATCTAAAGGAACCAGATCCCTGAACCTCACTCCTTTTTTCCCTTGCAGACCCCTCTAATCCAACTATAATCAATGTTGAAGCACTTACAACCATGCAATCCTCCTTGGAAGGTAAGTTTTACTAGAGCTTTGTGTTGAAATATGAGCGGCGGCGGGGCTGCGTCCCCAACACCCCGGCTGCTTGGCTAGCTCATGCCCGAAATAACAACACACAAACTGTATTCATTTAAAGAACTGCTTGGCCCATGAACTCTAGCCCTTACAGGCTAATTCTCGCACCTGGACTAGCCCATTTCTAATAATGTGTGTAAGCACCCCAAGGTGCGCTTACCGGGAAGATTCTAGCCTATGTCCATCTTCATCGCGTGTGCCTCAGAGAGCAGAGCTATCGCGTCTACCCGGGAGAGCTGAGCATGGCGTCTGTCTGGGAGCAGAGCAGAGACTGACCTCACTTCCTCTTCCGCCCAGAATTCTATTCTGTTTCCTCCTCCCATCTATGCTCTAAGCTAAGCCAAGCAGTTTCTTTATTGCTCAGCCAATGAAATCAACAGATTGATATATGACACTCCCACATCAGCTTTGTTACTGAATTCTTGAAACACATTTGGAAACCAAGGAGATGCAATTCCACTGATTTGGGCAAAGAGATCACTGTGTTACTCAAAGAGATCATGGCAGTAAATTAATGAATACAAAAGAAATGTAGCAAATATTTAAGGGTAGTAGAGAAGTTGAATCATGAATATACACTTTTCTTTGTGAAAACAAGCTAAAAGAAAGCAACGTATCACATTTTTCCTAATCTGATTTACTATGTGACATTGAGCATTCTACTTCTTTGTGTATCTTCTTCCACTGGAAATCCTTTATAGCAAAAAGCTGAGAGGTTTCACTTCATAGTACAATATAGACTAATAATATGGCTCGCTGCAGGATATTTGATTGCACTGTGAAACCACAAGACTGTATTAATAAACTCAACCTTAAATCAGGAAGCAGACCCAGTGACTAGTTGACAAGAATTAGCCATAGAGAGTGCAGAGGATGCAGGAATATGGATAGAGAGATGCACAGGAAGGAGTAGGGAGGGACTTAGGGATTCATGATCTTTTTATTTTAGGACAAATAGAGAAACTCTCTTGCTGAGTCTCTGGTCAAAAGGAAGGTCAGCTGGTTGCTTCTCAGCACCTCTGAGTTATCAGGTTTTCACCCAAACGTCTGACTCCCAAATCTTTATTGGTAGATAGAGCAAGAGACACTTAGTTAAAAACTACATTGGCAACTACAACAGAGCCGGTGCTGATGGGACCAGAAATCCCGCCAGGTCATGAATGATCAATCTGAGCAGCAGAATGCTCAATGCAGGGCAACAGAGCTGCAGATGGTAGTAAAATTATCAGTAGAGTTAGGTGTAGCCACTAAGCAAATGGAAAAAACAATGACTAGACACCCTGGAAGCCCAGAAGAGATCTCCAGCAAAGACTCGACGACCCTCACATCTCTTCAGTGCGAGATAGGCCTCTGACCTGGATTCTCTGTTCTCATAGCAACAACTACAGTGAATTCAACCTGCGACTGGACCTCTAAGGAGAATGGAAAATTTAAGGAGACCACTGTTGGCCCAGTGGATGAAAAACATGAGAGGACCACTGCTGGCCCAGGTAATGAAAACCATAAGAAGACCACTGTTGGCTCAGTGAATGGAAAACATGAGAGGACCACTGCTGGCCTGGGGAATGAAAACAATAAGGACATCATTGATGGCCCAGGTAAAAGCAATATTTTATGCTATCATTCTTCCTTGACTCTAAACTGTGTGATACATTATAAGTTTTCTATGTGGAATTCAACTCCACAAACCCAGGAAGAGCCCAGGAACTAAATTGGATACTTATGATAGAAATGAAAAGATAACGATACAAGAATAAAGAGTGAGGTTGTGGTTAAAGAAATGAATAAATGTGTTCTTAGTTTGTTTTCTATTGCAGCAGCAATATACTTCTCAAACACTGGGCGCGATGGGTGGAAAGTAGGATTAGGAACATGAACTCAGCCATCTATCCTAAGGAGACAGGAAATGGAATAGGTAAAGATCAAAGCAGTTCTCCACTACTTTAATTCTTAACTAAGGGCTTTTTGTAGCAGATCAGAGTTGATTTTTATTCAAAGATTTCCAAATCAGGAACTCAAGGACTAAAATCTCAAAGAGAAAATAGCCTGTATTATTTCATCTCAAACTTCTAGTCAGCTAATATGCACTGATATGCCTAAATCAATTCTTAAAATAATGAATTTCTTTCACATTAATAGTTGACTCGCTACTCTCAAACTATGAGATCCCCATTTTCACCTGTGTCATATGTCATAGGTCATATGTCAGAACCCTCCAAATTATTTCATGGTCTTGTAACCAGTTGTTAATTCCAGATATAACGCAGAACATCTATGACTCCAGGTATCCATCAAGTATCTGTTTTGATTATCCAGTGTGAAATAGTTTAATAACTATTACTCATTGTTTCATGCTCTGGCTTTGTTTCATTGAAGGCATACTTCTTTTTAATGATACTGGGGATAGGACCAGTGATCTCAAACAAGCAAGATATATGCTTTACTAATAAATAAAATAGAAAACACAGCAGAAATCATCAGGAACAGATAAGACCATGTAGAAGAATGAATTTCAAGGATGGGTAATTAAATAGAAATACATAAGTAAATACATAAAGAAAACATTAATGAACACAACTAAAATATTTGAGACCAAACCTAATAGCCCACACAGTGGAAGAAGCAGAGATTAAGTAAAAATGCTTAGACAATGTATTCAATGAAATTATAGCTAAGAATTTTATAAACCTAGAGAAAGAAATAAACATCCAAATAAAGTACTGGCCAAAAGATGTACAGGGAAAATGCCAACTCAGAAACAGAGGCATAAATGTTCGCATAACATCAGATCTCTTACCAGCTACACTAAAATCCAGGAAAGCACAGAATGATATATTTCAAGCTCTGAAAATAATACTGTCAACTGAGACTAGTATAGTCAACAAAGTTATATCTTAGAATTGATTGAGGATAGAAGCCCCTGAGATGTGGATATGGGTAACAGGGCAGTCCCTGTATGAACAGCCTGAGAAGACAAGATGCCCAAGAGCTCATTGTTTTATGCTGTGAAAATGAAACCTGAATTGTGTTGGTTACCCCAAATGTTGATGATTCTAGAATCATGAAACATCTACCAAGGAGAACTGCAGATAGGGAGTGGTAACAGCCCAAGAAAGAGATGCCTGTTGCAGGCTTTCAAGGCAGGAGTGGAAGAGTCATATAACGTTTGTGTCATCAGAAATGAGGTTACATGATTTCACGTCTGCCCTGATAGACTTTAGTCTCTTTTTGGTCCATTATTTCCTTCCTATCCATCCACTTCTCCCTTTTGGAATGGTAATGTGCATTCTGTGTCATCTTATGTTAGAAGTATGTGATCCACTTTTTTTATTTTACCTGAAGATACAGATAAGACATTTTCTTGGGTCTCAAAACAGACACTGGACTTTTCAATGGTTTTGAGACTGTCACAGATTGTGAGGACTTTTATTTAGAATTTGACTAAGCACATTTTGTACTATGATGTGGCCATAATCACATAATCAGGGTCAAAGAGTGGGATGTGGTGGCTTGAATATCCCCTATAGATTAATTGAGTTTTTGTTCCCCAACTGGTGGAAGTACATCACTGGGGTTGGTCTTTGAGAGTTTATAGCCTCACGCCAGTTCCAGATCCCTTCCTCTGCACTGTCTTTGATGTTGATGAATGTGATTGATCTCGAGGCTTCCTGCTCCTGCTACCATGCCCATGCTTGCCACCACAATGTCCTGCCATGACAGACTCATCCATCTGGAATCATAAACTCCTTGTTCTTTAAGTTACCTTTGGACCTGGTGTTTTATCACAGCAACAGAAAAGGAATTACTACAGTAAGGCATATGTGTTTAGAGACTGATCTATTTCTTACAGTCTTCCAGTGCTTTATATAAATTTTAAAATATTTTTTTAATATTCCTCCTGATTTCATTGAAGTCTAACAACTCCCTTTTCATCTTTAATTTCACTAATTTGAGGTTTCTTTCTTTTTCTTGGTTATTTTAGCTGGGGAGTTTGTTCATCTTAATCTATTTAAAGAACAAACTATTTGGTTAATATTGTGTATTGTTTCTTTGGTCTGTCTTTCATTTATTTCAATCCCTAATCGTTATTATGACTTGTTGTTTGCTGAGTTTGGGATTGACCTCCTTTCTTCCTAGAGCCATGAAGTATGTATTAGTTACTTTTCTATTATATGATGAGACAACATGACCACGGTAACTTACAGAGGGAAGGGCATACTTTGAAATTACAGTTTTAAAGGGTTACAACCCATGATAGTCGAGTGAAGCAGGTGGCAGGCATTAGGCAGTTGAGAGCATGTAAGTCCAGCCACAAAATAAGAAGCCAAAAGAATAAACTGGGGGTAGCACATGGCTTTTGAAGCCTCAAAGTAAATCCTCAGTGACATACTTCCTCTAACAAGGCCATCCCTCATAATACTCCTCAAACAGCAACCAACTAGAGACCAATTCTAAATCCCAAGATGCCTCACTCAAGCTACCATATTCTACTCCCTAAACTTAATAGTCTGTTGGCCACATCATAAAGCAAAATTCATTTAGTCCAACTTCCAAAGTCCCCATATTCTTGCACAATTAGATTACTATTTGCAAGTCCAAAGTCTCTTCTGATTAAATTGATCTTTATGATTACATTGAACCCATCAGAAACATTATAATTAAGACAATCTCTTAACTGTAATGCCCTGTAAAATAAAAAGCAATAATATCTAACATACAATAACACATAATATACATTACCATGATAAAAGTGAGAAATGAGGCATAGTAAGGACCAAAGCAAGACTGAAACCCGAAAGTACAAATTCCCAATACCATAGCTCCATAGCTCTGTAACTGATATCAGAGGGCTTACATGTCTCTACCCCTCTGATTTTACTGCCCACAACACCATTCCCTGTCAGGTTGTTTCCACTCCCCTTCTACAGATGCCTTTCAAGGTCATTTGCCCTGTAGTAGAACCTTCATGAATGAACTTTCTTGCCCCATTTTGACTAACCTTAGATGCTATTTGAAACCACAGGGGAAGAAAGAATTCATGACCCACTAACTTCTGCATTCTTCATTTCTGCAAAGTCAGTTCCATGTGGACAACGGTGCCAAGTTTGACTGTCAGATTAATTATCTCTGCAGATACACAGACGCCGTTTCTTAATAAAAGTTCAGAAGAAAGTAAGAATGTGTGGAACCTACCTCAACACAATTAAATGCTTCCTATGAAAAGCCTGTAGCCAACATTATACTAAGCTTAAAAACTGGCTTTGGGGGAGCCTAGGCAGTTTGGATGCTCACCTTACTAGACCTGGATGGAGGTGGGTGGTCCTTGGACTTCCCACAGGTCAGGAAACCCTGATTGCTCTTCGGGCTAATGAGGGAGGGGGACTTCATTGGGGGAGGGGAAGGGAAATGGGAGGCGGTGGCGGGGAGGAGGCAGAAATCTTTAGTAAATAAATAAATAAAATTAATTAATTAAAAAAAACTTAGAGCATTCTAAAACGTAAAATGAGGTAAAAATGTGTATCACCCCCAGTTTTATTAAATATAACGTTCACAATGAAGTTTCAAGATATATAATCAACATATAAAATCAACATACGAAATCAATATTTTACATATACACCAACAAATTTGCTAAAAACAAAATGAGAAAAGATATTTCATTCACACTGCTGGGCATATACCAAAAGACTATATCCTACCATGGGCATATTTGCACATCCATGTTTACTGATGTTTTGTTCACAACAAGAAATAAAATCAGCCTAAATAACAACCAGCAGATGGATGGACAAGGAAAATACATTTTTATTTGGCAAAAAAAATTTATTCAGTCATGGGGAAAAATAAAATATCAGGAAAATTTATGGAACTGGAAAATATGTTAACTGGAGTAACCTAGGTTCACTAACATAAATGTTGAATGTTTTTTCTTATATGTAGATTCTAGTTCCTAATTTTACACATGTGTATTTTTGTAAGAATGAGTGAGGTATAAGCCATGAAACTAGAAAGAACCCAATAGGAAGGAAAAAAGCAGTGTGTGTGTGTGTGTGTGTGTCTGTGTGTTTAATATAATGTACGTGTGTGTGCACATACTTGCCTGTGTATGCTCATATGGAGACCAGAGCTCTCCTCTAGGTGTTTCTGCTGTCCTCTGCCTTAATTTTTCTTGAGATGGAGTCTCTCGATGGCCTGAAGCACACTATGCGACTAGACTGGCTAGCCAACAGGACCAGAAAATTTGCGTGCCTCTGTTCCTACACACTGTGCTTATAGATTCTCATGACTATGTTGGATTTTTATGTGAGTAATGAGATGGGAACTCTGGTTTTGCTATACACCAAGTATGTAAACCACTGAGCCATCTACCTAACTATCCCTCCAAAATGAAAACAAAAACCAACAGCTTCTCTTAAGGAAGGAGGGAAGTACAACACACATGACATGAAGCGGTAACTCCTGGAACAGAAGGATACAAGCGACAAGACGACAGGATGCACTGGTGGAGAGAAAAATCAGTCAAAGCAAGTATGAGGAATAGGTTATCTTGAATGCTGACTATAATGAAGTGAAAGTCAATGAAAGGGGCGCATTGAATACCATTCAAATGTGTCACTGAAGTTATGAGGAAACTAAAGTCTAATATTGGTTAAAGATTTGACCAACGTCACCATACTAACTTTTCTGTGACTAGCATAAAAGCTTACTTCAAATTTTGTATGGTAAAATGACATAAATATGTTTTCTTATACTATGGCTGTCAAAAGTCTGATGTTAGTGAGCTAAAATCAGGTGCCAGGAGTGCCCCAGTCCTTCCGGAAGCTTTGTAAAAGAATCCATTCCTTGATGCTTTCCACTATGTAGAAGCTGCCCACATTCTCCTGATTTCTTTCACCTGTTTTCAACATCAGTAATGTAATATGTTCAAATCTTCCTCTCTTACCTTCTCTCATATCTCCTATCTTTACTATTAAATCAATCCTTGTGATTACATTGAGTCCATCAGAAACAGTAATGATTATCTCCCTATTTTAAGTGCAAATAACAATCAGCCTTAATTCTGTCTTCTACCTTAATTCGTCTTTATGTTACATACAATTCTAAGAATCTGTGTGCAAACATCTTTGGCGGAAGAACCATTATCTGACCCATTAGTCATTCAACAAGTAAATAAGACTTAGGACTAGAATCTCGGTACAGTATATTCCTTTAACTATTTACATGCCTGTATTAGTTACTTATGTCATTTCTGCAACAAAATACCTGGAAAAAAAACACCTTAAGAAAGGAAAGGTCTATTTGGGCTCATAGGTCAAGGGTGCAGTCCATCACAGCAAGGAAAACATGGCATATAATCACATCCGATCTACAGCCAAAAAGCAGAGGATGATGGTACTCAACTTGCTTTCCTTTGTTCATTCTTTCCATAATGCCAGCCCATAGAAGAATGATGCCCACAGTTAAGGTAATGCCCAGAGGCTTGTCTCCTGGAAATATCTAGATCCTTTCAGATTGACAGAATTAACTCTCAAGGTACCCTAGATTTCTGAGTGGAAATATTTTTGAAAAAAGAGGAAACTGGGAACTTGAATCAAAGAGTACTTCAGTGAGAAGAGTCTTTACGGCAGAACATAAGTTGCCAGAATCTCATGAATATAGCATTTCTGAAAAGCTGGCAAGTCAAAACACCACCACCATTTTTTTTTTTTAGGCAAAGTGAAATTCTTCTATCTTGGCCCTTTGGAAAGAATAGAAAATCTGCCTGTGGCCCAAAAAGCAATCAACCAGTGGGACCATGAGAATTTGTTTTGACACTTTGTCTCTGACATTTATCAAGATTGTCCTAAGAATGTGGGATTTTGTTTTTCTCTCTGGCTAGCTCAGAACCTCAAGATGCTCTAGGCTGATACTTAGAGTTTCTGATTTGATCTTTTTTTTCTCAAGGCCAATTTCTGTTTATTTGTCTGCTTTTTAAAAATTTAACAAACTTTTTAGTGAAACATTATATGAATAATGTATAGGTAAATTAATATTTAAAAATCTTTAAAATGTGCATACTTCACAACCACATTACCTGCAGTCTAATAGTCACCAAATGGTTTCTTTTCCTGGTCACTATTGCCATGTATTATTTTAAGCTATTTTGAACTCTTATAAAGGAATAAAATAATGTATTTTTGTGGTTGGTTTAGTTTACTCAGTGTGTTTATCAGAGTCAGTGGCAGGTTCATATGAATATATACGTTTGTTATATGCAAATATATTTCAACTATTAAATAATTGGTTAGTATGTATGTGTTTAACAATGAATTTATTTTATTCTTCTTGACTATTACCTGAAAAACTTCCCATTTGGGCCATTACTAATAATTCATGGATAAACAATATTACATTATTGGCACATGTAGCACTGGCTGTCCAGGTGCCAGCTATGTAGACCAGGCCAACCTCAGACTCACAAAGATCGGCCTGCCTCTTCCTCCCAAATGCCAGTATCCCACCACCGTTCCCACCCAATCTTGTCTTTTGAAATAATATCATGTAAATATGCAATGCTTTTATTATAACTTCTTGATTCTCAAAAATTTCATATAGGTAAAAAATGAAGTATGGTCATATTCACCTCTCATTTCTCTTTTCCTACTCCAACCATATACTCTGCAAACTACCTCCTCCTAACTTCATGTCTTCGTTGTTAACCCACTAAACCTAACGAGTAACACCCAGATGTACATGAGTTTGAGTCCATCCGCTGGAGTATGGGAAACCTCTGAGTGGGAACACACTGGAAAAAGAATGAATCTCTCTCCTCCAGAAGCAATATTCAGTAAGGAGTAGGGCAAGACGAGCATGTCTACCAACTCTGCGGGACTTTTGGCTTGCTCTTATGTCAATTTGAGCTGATAACCCTAGCTATACTACTATAAATTCATAAATACAATAACCCTGTCATGTCCAGAACATAGCATTCCACAGCACTCTTCCTCGTTGTCTGGCTCTTAATCTTTCTGCTCTCTCGGTTCCCCCCCCCCCGTGTGTGTGTGTGTGTGTGTGTGTGTGTGTGTGTGTGTGGTGTGTGTGTGTGTGTGTGAGAGAGAGAGAGAGAGAGAGAGAGAGAGAGAGAGAGAGAGAGAGAGAGATTCATCATTTAGAAATGAGCACTGAGGCTGGAGAGATGGCTCAGTGGTTAAAAGAACTGGCTGCTCTTCCAGAGGACCCAGGTTCAATTCCCAGCAACCACATAGCAGCTCACAAGAGTCTGTAACTACAGTTTCAAAGAATCCAACACCCTCAAATACAGGCAAAGCACCAATGCACATAAAGTAGAAGTGAGTCTAAGTCTGTTCTCAGCACTTTTACCAGTTATGCATCTCTGCATTGATGGCTGTCAAATGCAAAATAAGCTTCCAAGTCAATACAGAGAGAAGCCTATGGGTATAATGTTCAAATAGCAAATTGAATATTTACAAAAATAAGTATAATAAATTCTACTCTATGGTCTATGGCAGAGAGAGAGAGAGAGAGAGAGAGAGAGAGAGAGAGAGAGAGAGAGAGAGAGAGAGACTTTTGACCAGATTATAGTACCAGGCATGATAGGCATGATATTCCCTCCTGTGGAGCAGTTTTCAGTTCCAATCAGAAAATCAGAAAGGTCTCAATTGTCCTATACTAGTCTTGCTGCTATCATACCATGGGCACATCGACATCATGCCTGGTATGTTAGTATTATTCTGCACAAAGTCCAGCAGTGGGTAGGGCCTTTGACTAACCTCATTTTAAACCACATAACTCTTGGTCTTATTTTCTCTTTTAGGAAGGAACCTGAAAGTCTTTCTCATCATCTGCATCACCTCCCTTTGCTGCATAGTGGTTGTCACCACGGCTTATTTTATCTTCTGCCACAGGACATTCCAGCAAGGTGAGTAATACGTAGGGATGGCTGGCCTTTTGTTCATGCATTCTTTCCAACAATGTATTTATCTACATTCTATATGCGGAAGTATGGCTAACTTTCCAATGATCTTTAAGACTAGTTTCAGGGCAATGGTAGAAATAAAAAGAGACAGATATTCATTGTTCCTGCCAGTAATGTTGTAAGAATTATGAAACAGAATATAAAAATCCAGGGTACTAAGACAAGCACAACTCTTTGTAATGAATCATCTTACAAGAATGGAAAGGAAGTTGCCCTTGAGTTGCTTGCAATGTATGTGAGGATTTCCAAGTTGAAGCATAGAATTTATCAATAGCATACATTACAGAAAGATTAATGATTCAAGGTGTAGAGAAGAAGATATTCAACAAATACTGAAGAGAAGAGTGTCAGAGCTGGAATAATCAACAAAGCCTTTCAAAAGGTTTAACTAGAGCTAGGTCATACTAAATGAAGACACTAAATGAAGGGACAGTGTTCCAGGAAAGGGAAACCAAGTGAGCAGAAGTATAAAGGTCTAAACTGAAAGTACTTGTGGAAAATTCAGTTAGTTAAGGGATAATGAATTACAGGGGACAATGTAGGGTCCCTTCTAATCAGAGCAGGTTTTGAATTCCAGCCTAAGGAATTTCTTCACTAGGCCTTGCAATGGCCCTAAGATTAACCCAGTTGTTTTGGAAGTTGCATGATGAAGACATTATTGCCAGAGAGATTTAATAAGTATGGAAAACACGAGGTACAGGAGGGTTGGAATGTTTGTTTCTAAGAAAAAGTTAGAATTCAATTACCTTGCACTAGTCAATTTGCCTAAAATCATCTTGTATATTTTTCTGTAGCATCTTCTACTCATAACCATCTTTTCTGCCTTGGATCACTTTAATTAAATAGAACACAGTCTTGTCTATCACTTTCCTCAGGGTCTCAAGTATAACCGATGGTGTTGGCCAGTTACCATGACTGCGATCCATCAGGATGATCTAGGGAATGGAAATTCCTCAAATGGCCACAAATACCAGCTCGATTTGAAGGAAACCATTCACCATAGTCTTCTAAAGGCTAAAACAGTAACTACATATTATTTGCCTCTTAAAATATTCAAAATATTTCATTGTCCCTGGCAGCTCAAGGGAACAAGAAGTCAGGTTAAGTCATCTTTTTAAGACCCTCTATGATGTGGGTCTAGCTCTGTTTTCTTCCCATCCACTAGTCACTTTTCCTTGTTCTCATTTCCAGCCACTGAATTTAGACAAGCAACTAAAGCTTACATAACATGTCTTTGTGCTTTATTTTTTTTAACCTTCTTAGTTTGCCTTTCCAGAATTCCCACTTCCTGTTTCTCTTTAAGAGAGACAGCGTCAGAGCAGTAATTCAATTTAGTCTGTAGTTACTGAGCATAGGTTGTACTCTGGATACTAAGCAAGGTAAGACAGAAAAAACACCAACTTTGGAAATAAAGAAGTTCCCTGTCCAGTGGGGGAGATAAAACTTGGAAAGGTGGGTCTCTACAAAACAGAACTCCCATAGTTTGCATTGTTACCATTCTTGTAATTTAGTACATGAATTTCCAGTTGCTACCGTGAAAGATCATAAGCACCTAGAGAGAAGAGGGCTGTATCAAGAAATACCCATCTTTGTGCCAGGCTAGTCCTCTAGACTAGAGGACAGTTCTCCACAATACTAGGGGGCAATGACTATCTAGTTGGGGTCCTTTTAGTCTTAAGATTTTAAGTAATAATATTTTATTAATTCAATGAAATACCAACTTACCCATGTATGTTATAAATCATATACACACATATACGTACACACATACATATACATATATGTATACATATTCATAAACATATGTGGTAAAAGAGGTTATGCAACAACTGAGCCCTTTCTTGAGTAATAGGTCAGTGTCAGTGCACTTGAAAATGGTTCCTGACATGGAACCAAATTCAGTGCATTTTCCTGGGTTGTAGCTGGGCAATCAAGTTTCCCACAGAATTTTCTGTGAATCTTTGATGAGAATCCTGGGTGAAGAACCGGTCTGGTGTATTTTCCCTTTACCCACACCAAACAATATCTTCAGCTTAATTATCTGAGTCAGAAATGGCAAAGGGGATGGAGAACAAGTGTTATTTTGGAGCATAAGCTAGAATGCTGGGAAAAAGAAGCTAAATCAGTGAGTCGCCATGATTCTCCCACTCCAGACAGATGCAGGTTAAGATCTTCCCTGGTAAGCCACCTCGTGGGCTGCACAGATTATTAGAAATGGGTTAGATCAATATGTAAGAGCTAGCCAATAAGAGGTGGGAACTAATGGGCCAGGCAGTGTTCAAAAGAATACAGTTTCCATGTAATTATTTCGGGTAAAGCTAGCCAGGTGGTGGGACGCAGCCCGCCGCTCCTATTACAACAAACAAGGATGTGTACCATCCATGCTTCTGAAAAATATGTGTCCTTGTATTTTAACTCATGACAACATCCCTCAATATTACAAAGCTGGTATCCTGGATTCTCTTCTGTTTTTTTCTCCCATTTTTGGACTGCTACTGAGGTTTCATACTTAGCTCCTATATACTCTCCATATAAATTTCTAACCTGATTCTTCCTTGTTTTCTAGAGTATGTCTATGAACTAAACAGGTAAGATACACATTTTGCTAACATATTAACCCTTCAATGCCCTAAATTCTGGTGGTTGTTGGCAGAAAATCTGGAGACTAGCCCAAGCAGAGTCCTTCAGGGTCAGAAAGTATTTTACCCTCTTAGATGAATGTTCTCATGTTGTATCCTGGATCAATGAATCCACAAGATGATTTAGGTATACCAGTTTTCTGTCCCCACAGTCCCTGCCTAACAGGATCCTGGGAGTCAGTGAATAAGAACTTAAGAGTTAGGATGCTAGAAGGCAGGATCTAAGCCCAAGATCTTTCTCATGAGTAATTGGCTCTTGGTCCACAGGGTGTGTGCCAAGGAGACCAGAAACTCTGGAGAAACCACAGAGGTGACTACCTTCATAAATGGGTACTTCAGTGACGAACCAGATTCCCATGCTCTGATCAATGACTATTCTGATGAGTCCTTGCCTGGGCCAGGAGTACTAGATAACCACCCAGATCAACGATAACTATTCATTCCTGCCTGCTTCACACAGTTCCTCGAAACTACGAAGTTGTCGCTACTGAAGACAATAGCATCTGCTAAAATGTTACAAGTCAAGGTCTACTGACATAATTGCCTATGATTATTTAGCTCTTTAAGATTTCTTGCTTGCTTCCTTTCTTCCTAGACAACCTAAAGTATCAACTCTGCCATTGGTGGGGCCACTGGGAAATCCTAGTTAGACTAAGAATTTACCATGTGCCCCTCAAGAAAGCTAGCTTCTGAGTTTGGCCCTGGACCCTTCTATGTTCCTGCCCGGGGCCTCCACACCTCCTCTGAAAACACTAGAGAATTTCCCATAGCACTAAAGGTTCTTTTTCATGCCTCAAAGCATCACCAGAAAATCAGGTGAGTGAGGCTCAGTCCTACCAACTCAGGCAATCATCTATGTTAATTAATTAATATTGCCAAATCAAAGGCCAAGGTACACATCTGTTCCTATACTGCAAACCTAATGCTCTTGTGTTTTGTTCTTCTGGTGGTAATAAATGTTTAATCAGGACAGCAACGTCAATTGTGTTTGTCTTAAGACACAGTAGGACCTACCTAAAATGAGACTAAATAAGATGGTAAGCCCCCCTAGACCCTTTTCTTCTCTGTGTCTGTGTGTGTTTTACAAGAAAGTGTGTGTGTGTGTGTTACAAGAAATTTAACCAGGGTTAACCAAGTACTCTACTACTAAACTATATTCTTGTATTTTTTTAACATTTTATTTTTATGAGATCTCATTAACTTGCCCAGGCTTGCCTTTATTTCACTCTAGGCTTTGAGCTTGCCAGCTGCCTTAGACTTCCAAGTAGCTGGGACTGTAGTTCTGGAATGCTAGGCTAAACTATACTATAGATTTTTGTTGCTGTCGGTTTGTTTTTTGGCTAAACTTAGTCTTTCACTTTCCAACTCACGCCATTTCCCTTCTCACACCGTGAATAGTCCTATCTAAAACAAACCAATCACTTCTAAACAGTATTCTACAGAATAGCCATTCCCCCACTCCATCTTCGTTTTAGTTCTACTTAGGGACTCTTCTCAGGGCAACAGGAAGTGTGGCAAGAAGCCCTACTTCTTTCTCAAAGGACAATGAACATAGATATGAAGTAATTTCCTTGTTTAAAACATGTGTGTAGTATCACTAAAATCTTTGGGTTAGTTGCAATATTCATCGGTTATTTTCTTTAACTCCTGAACTCTTCTTGCAATGTGGAGAGGGTTAAGTGTAGCAGATTCTTTTTTAAGGAAAGGAAAGGGAAAGGAAGATAAAGAAGGGAATGGGGAGGCAAGGGAGAGGGAAGAGGAAGTGAGGGAGTAAAGGGAAGGAAGAGGGAAGGGAAGGGAAGGAAAAGGGAGAGGAAGGGACAAGAGGGAAGAGAAGAGGGGGGAGAGCTATATATTTGTGTACCATTGAATAAAATTCCCTTGTCTAGAAATCAATTGGGATCAGGTTTGTACTGCTTCCTTTCCCCCGTGTATTTCATATCGAATCAACTTCTTTACTATTCATGAGAGTTACTACATTGCCTATAGTTTCAACAAGAGCTGCTCCCACAGTGAGATGATTACAAAAGTCAAAACAGCACACAAAAACGAGCAAGTAAGAGGCCTCCACATTTTGCCCCCACTGATACTGCCAAGTTTGTGATCAAAACCTCAGCATTTTCTTCCTTGCTGAATGCTAGCTACACATAACTGGTGAGAAGGACCACTTCTCCATTTTACTTACAAGCCTCCACACAGCAGTGGTCCCACTCAGCAGAAACCTCAGCTTCCTTCACGAAACAGCTCTTAGCCCAGCCCTTCCCCCCCCAAGCTCCTTTTAAAAACACTCATTTATCTTATTCTGCTAAAAAAAATAATCCCTGGACTTGAGGAGAGGATTATTATTGAAATTTCTCTAGTAAAATTAGTCACAAATGCAGGAACTCCCCGACGCAGGAACCATCAGAGATGTCTCTTGGTCTTTTCAATTGAAAAATTACTGATCTGAGCATTCACATATCACAAAATGGGAAACGAAGCTCAGAGAGAAATGATGACTTGTCAAAAGTAACAGACATCAAGACAATGGCTAAACAAAGACTGGAAGTGAGTCCCGTGAATTTTAGTAGTGTGCGTGCATTGCTGCTGACATCTTCTAGAGATGCTCTTTGCTCCTAAACTAAGATGTTTTCCCAGGCAGGATAAGCCAGTAAGTCCTTCCTATAGAGAGTGACTCTTCTAAGCAAAAAATGGGTTGAAAAGATAGGTCTTGTCATTTAGGTAGCTGGCTGATGCGTGGGAAGTTAGAGTGAAATTAGGTATCTCCAGAACAGAGGGAAAGTATGGAATTTCTCTAGAGAAACTTCCCAAAATATATATCATGAAATGTTAGACTCTGGAGATAGATATTGGAAACACCTTTCTATAAGTCTGTATTAAAGTTCATTTAGTGCAGAATGTTAAAGGCTCAGAAAATTCTGTTTAAAAGCTCCACATAAACAAACAATTCCAAAATTCACTTGCCCTCTGAGTCTATTTTTTATTACCCTCCTTCTCCAGTCCTAAGTCTTATTTCTCAGGAAAAAAAAAATCTGTTTGGTTCCTATTTGTGTACACGTTAGCATTGGAATACACACAGCTTGATTTTTTTTTCACAAAACCCTGCATGATATTTCACCAAAGGCAATGGACTAGTAGAACATCAATTAATTGGTAAACATTTATTAAACAAATTAAAATGCTGGACAATAGTAGGGAATGCAGCAACCAAGTAACTGTAATATGCTCTAGACTCTTACAATGTAATGGGGAATTCAAGAATATACCCTGGAAAAATTCACTGACAATTTAGGGGGATGTAGTGAGTGGCAGGAAATATAAGAGCAAATACCTGCATCTACTCAAGGAGTAAAGAAAAAGTATAGGTCGATGTTCCGAACCGCCCAGAGTGTTTGGAGTTTGGTGGGGTCTGAACGTACATGGAAGAATTGGATGTGCAAAGAGAAACAGAAAGAGTACTTTGAGAAGGGACAAAAAGAAAACAGAAAAAGAGAAAATGCAGGCAAGGTCAACATGTGCTCCAGGGACAAGAAAGTGGATTGCTATGTCCTACTTTCTTCTTGATGTCAAGATGCTTGTAGAAGAACTCTGGTGTTCTGGCTGCAGGAAGAGGAATGTGAAAGAAGACATTAATACTAAATCAAATTGCACATCCTTCTTGGTATCCCTTAATATATTTTAATCCCATTGGACACTCCATGGCAGTCTCACAAGATGTGTCGATAGATCCTAGATGTGTAGGCCCCAGAGCTGCACCTTCCTTACTCTGACGTCTCCTGATGAAATGTTATAGTTCCCTCAGAGCCACAGAGTACCTTGAGAAAGCTCGATCGTTCATAAGCATTTGTATATAGGCAGCAGGCTATTTGCTCTGTCCTGGGCCTGGAGATGCTAGGCAGGAGCCACACTTGGGGTATTTGACAAACTGACACTCTACCACACAGAGTGTCCAACTCAGCTTGTCAAATACACGGAGCGTGACACTGCAGAAGGCCAGGTCAGGAGCATCCACTGAGCAGCAAGCACATCCTAGAAGACGTGCACCTAGAAAGAGAAGGGATGTGGTGATGAAGTTAGACCCCGAGCCTCAGACAAAAGCAGAGGCTGACCTGACTGGCTGAAACACCAAAAGAGGGGGAGGGAGCAAAATAGGCCTAAGGCACCATACCAAACCAGGGATCCTGAATATTTGCCCGGGAAACTCCGTGACCCAAGCCACACTTAACTCTTCTATCCAGCTGAAACAGGACAGTTTGGCAGTTATCCTGCCTCCCTGATATTAAAAGCCTCAAAGGCAACATCCTTGTTCCTTCCCTCTATCCACTTCCTTCACGCTGTGTTCTCAGCATGACTTTGAGTTTTAAAAATGGTCTTGAATTCTAGCTCTGCCATTAGCTAGTGTACATCTTAGATAAGTGATTTTATGTCCCTCACGCCTAGTTTTTTAAAGCCACGAGAATGTTCAGGAAGTCACTGTGAGAGTATTGATAAAATATATAACGACATCCATTTAATATGTGTTATGTAGCAAATGCTCAAAACTTGTGGTTATACCCAGTTATGATTGTACATGTCTGAATACCAGCTTTCTTAGAGATAGGAGAACTTCGGGTTTGAGGCCATCCTAAGCTATGTAATATGACCCTATCTTATACAAAAAAGAAAAAAAAACAAAGCCTAGGGATAAAACTCTGTGGAAGAACGTTTGGCTAGCATGTATAAAACTCTGTATTTCATTCCTTATACAGAAAAAAAGGTGACTATAATGTGTTTTTAAAGTTAAAATAAATAAATGAAATAAATATCAACATAAAAAAATGATTGACAATTTGTTTAGCAAAATTGAAGCAGTAATTTCTTGGGGCCTTAGCCAGATGTCGCATAAATAGTTACAAGCAAATACTATTAAAATTCCCTTTTAAGTCAACTGGCTTTACCGACTCAAGATTAAAAATGAGAAAAGGAAGTTTGGGGAAAGTCATATAATAAGTCATTTAGAGTTTGGGGGTTATATCATATGTCATCTCATTGTGTCCCTCAGCTTTCCTCAGCATCGCCTTTTCCTGTCTTATATCCCCCTGCAAAAAAGGAGAAGAACAGAAACAAAGAGCAAAACAGGATAGTGGATTTTGCAGGGCATCATTAAGCTGTTCGAACTCACAGCCACTGGGGCAGTAAGGAAACTGTCAGAAGAGCCACACCTGGAAATTGAGATTGTCTTTTGCATTACACAAATCCTATTGTTCAAAATGCCAGCTTGCCATTATCGAATTTTGTCCTGCCCAGAACTAAATGTAGGTTTGAAAAAAAAAAGTAAATAGCCTATATTAATCACTGGCACAAAAAGTGGCAAACATCCCAAGATTACTAGGAAAGGAAAACTTCCCTGAATGCTATTTCAGCAAAAATATGCTGTTTTTTCTAAACTCTTAGATGAATATAAGAGGTTAACACATCGCTCCAATTTGATGACTTAAAAGCTAAACATCAAAATTGTCTTTTCTACTCCCTAACTTTTCTCCCAGTCACCCTATGTCACCCAAAAGTGTGACTTTCTAACACGGCAGCTGTTGTGGCCACCACATGTGGTACAGTGGAAAGAATCAGACAAAATTAGGTGCTGATCCTAGCCAATCACAGCTGGGATAAAACTTTTCTTAGGCTTCAATTTGTCTTTTCTAGAGATGTGGACAGAAGTCTTACATGTCAAGGTGGTTGAAAGTTGTCTGGTGAGATTTCTATAGCTTCTTATGAAGGTGCTTAAAGAGACCTTGCTTCAGACTTTGGAGCTAGTAAAATCCAAGGAAATTGATTAAAAGAGGTTGTATTTACAATAGCAAGGAAAAGGGTAATGGACAGTTGTTGCTGCTTCCTATCATCCTCTCCACTGCCTGACACCTGCTGTAAGAAGAGTTGGACACCCCAGAGATATTCATAGCCTCCTGAATGTCCTATCTGACCCCATACACCCCAGGAAGCCAGGAAGAAAGGTATGAGAGGGGCTAAAGAGTCAACACTCTGAATTAAAAAATTATTATAAATACTTGTTCCCAGTATTGATGGAAGGAGTCCGTCATTAAGCTGGATGTAGGCCAGTTTCATTTTCACTTTTGATGCTCGTTGCACCTGTTCAAAGGAGTACACAGAAGAAGAGCAAGTTCAGTTGAAAAAAGTTAGTCAGACCCATAGAATGAAGGTGGTAATTGAAGGATTCCTAAACTCTTCTATTTGTCATGATCTGATTTGAAATAGCATCATTCACCCCCATGAGAGCACAACATCCTCCATTGGCTATCTCCAGAGATCTGTTCCCAAAGAGTCCAATAGATCGGTCGTCACCAAAGAAATTGGAGGGCATAATCTTGGTAAAAAGAGGCATGAGGTTTTACCCAAAGTGTCCAGAATAAGCCATATAACAGGAAATAGGTTAGTGAAGAAGAAGTACTCAGAGCCATTCTGAAATATCCAAATTTCTTCCAATAGAAGAAGAGCCACCTGCCTCAAATGCAAGGCACCTCTACTTTCTGGTGTCTCAGTCCTACAGCAGGGCAAAAAAAGCTCTGGCTTGTGATTAGACTGAGCTGTGCTGTAGGTTCTGTGCATGGCCTTGGGCAAATTACCTTCTTCCTGCTCCCTAGACCTCTGGTCCTCACTTACATATTTGTGCTCTTTCTACTCTCAAACTTCCTTCTGTGTGACTTTTCAGTTCTAACATTGGAGTAGTGGGGAATAAGACTAGAAGAGGAAGAAACTTTCATCTCTTGGTCATACCTTTCATAACAACACCAGTTTTCCAGCGTGTGTTCAGCACTGCCTAGAGGTTTACATTCGAGCATCGGTCCCATCCCCCTTCTCAGCGGAGGGCTGATAACCTTTGAAATAAGAGACACAGGGACTAGGACATTAAATGGCACTCCAGAGATCTTTGTCTTCCTCTTCTTTGAAAAAGAAGCTCCAAGCCTGAGCGCTAGAATGCAGAAACGACTCGCTAAAAGAATTAAGGTGATAGATAAAGGACAAACTGAAAAATGCTATTCAGAACTCCTAACTCCTGGCTGTGAAGAACATTTAACTTCTACATGACTATCTTCTAAGCCCTATCATTTTTTAGGAATTATCATGTCCCCTCTCTCAGCTACCACAAACTCCAGCATAGAAAGCCAATAGAAAACTTCTCCTGTCTTATCTTTGACCTCCATCCCTAACTATGACCTGAGAAGCAGTTAGGCATATTCAATCCACTGTAAGCTGTTGTGAACACTGTCACAGCATGGAAATCTAAGAGAATAAATGGATACTATACCTGTCATCAAAGTAGTTCGTGTCTTTGTCTTGGATGGGATATAGGTGCCGACCCGAACTATAGCGATCAGGGAAAGCCGAGCTTTATGTTGTGAGCAGGCAGGTCACATGTTCGGAAGGCCTCTGTATCATGAAGAGGAAACAGAAATGAGGAAGATAAAGTTGAGGCTAACCAACGGAAATCTGGGTACAACATGACAAAACAGAACTATTGTGAAAGGAGCTGCTAGTACAGCAACAGCCTCTACTGCTCTGCCTCCACCCATTCTCAAGCGGCCTCCAAAGACACTCACTGGCTTCCCATGCTTTAGAGTGAGAAAGCAGGAAGTTATAAGCTGCCTTTGGGCTCTGCCCATGAGGCAAAGAGGTTCCAAGAGCAACTGAGGGAATCCTCAAATATCAGAGCTATGATAATACCTAATGAAAATCCGTTGTCAAAATTTTAAATTGGAAGCACATTTGTATCAAAACTGAAATATGGTACTACACCCTTTCCACTGAAACAATGTTAATCTTCTCCGGTGAGAATGCCGTCTCATCCTGGAATACTGCTTTCCTTCTTTCGTGACAGACAGAAGCAGCTCTATGACTTATAAGGAGTAGCACAAAATAAATGTGACAGTTTTACCTCCACCCCTTCTAAAGACAAGCGCATTCCCTTTTGGGTATGACTCTCCTTCCCATCATTT